AAGTTGATAATTGTTGAAAAATTTCTTGTCCGTAAGTTAAAAATCAAATATATTATCATAAGCTGAGTTTTTCCACAGGAGTTAGCAGTACTGTGAGAATCCTTCTCATTTCTTTTGCAAAAAGGTTAAAATAATTTCACATGCATTACCTCTCTTGCCAAACAATGTCCACAATTACTTCCATTAACAAATTTAGAGTAGTGTGCATTTTTCCACATGATTCAAGAGTTCATCTTAAACTGATCTAAAGAGAAGAAAAAAAAATAAATCATTGATCTAAGTAATCCTTCAAAAACAAATAAACTGAAACCCTGATTTAAATCTACAACAATAACCTGCCAGATAACCAAAACGTAACAACACACAATACCTAGAGGACATTTGCCTTTTCAACCATGTTTATATTATTTAGTTCAATATCTGAATAGAGGAAAAAAAGGTGATAAACTGTTGCATACTTTTGTAGAACTTTTGCAGAAAAGAAGGCTATGTAATGCAGTAGTTTCATTTTCCAGATTTTAATAATGCAGTAAAAGCAAGATGGAAAGAGGTGGCTTCTTATTGCACATAAGTAAAACAAAAATACATAGCACAGACTAAGAAGTGAAATAAAATGTTTATGTGCATCAGGTCTCCTTGTTACATGCTAGCACACAATTTAATAGCATATTTCTCAACATTTCCAGCTGTATGATACTCTCTTGTATATTTGTACTCCATATTTTGTTTGCTGGTTCAACAATAAAAGAATATAAGAACTAGAATATTGGAGATCTCAGTCAAGATGCTGTTGGATAACATCACAAAATGAAGTATTTTGTATTTAAACAAGCATTTGGAAAAAAAAAAAAGAAACTACAGTAATGTACTTTGTACACAGGCAACCCTTAGTCCTTTCAGTTAAAGAGATTTATAGTGGATTCACTCCCAGAAATATAATGTACTTAGCAACTGCAGGGCAAGAGCACCACTCAGTGGACCTATCAGATACAACAATACTGGCAAAGAAAGCTACGTGTTCACAGCACAGCAGTAAAAATAGTTCCAGGTAGTTCCACTAAGACAAAAAACTTTCTCAGAAAAATTTTAGGTGAAAAAACTGCTAGTTTTAATTCATATTACAGAAATTATACTTTAAAATTGTATCAGTATTGCTTATTTGCTGGCTCACTTTCCCACATGCAATTAGTAAGTTTTCATTACTATTGTTATTTCTTTTCTAAAAATACAAATTATAATTCTAAAAAGGAAGATGTATGGCCATAAATGAATCATAGAATCATAGAATCGTTAGGGCTGGAAGGGACCTTCAAAGGTCATCTAGTCCAACCCCCCTGCAAGGAACAGGGATATCTCCAACTAGATCAGGTTGCTCAGGGCCTCATCCAACCGGGCCTTGAACGTCTCCAGGGATGGAGCATCCACCACCTCTCTGGGCAACCTGTTCCAGTGTTCTACAACTCTCATGGTAAAAAATTTTTTCCTAATATCCAACCTGAATCTACCTCCCTCTATTTTAAAACCATTACCCCTTGTCCTATCACAACTGGCCCTCCTGAACAGCCTCTCCCCATCTTTCTTGTAGGCCCCCTTGAGGTACTGGAAGAAACCTCTTTAAAATTTGGAACCTAGGGTGTTCTAAAAAGGAAGATGTATGGCCATAAATGAAACCTCTTTAAAATTTGGAACCTAGGGTGGTTTTTTTCTATTTAATTCACAAATATTTACGTTAAGGTACATAATGTGGAAAAGAATTGCACAACCAGGTGCTGACACACAACAGTTATTTCTTATGCACAATGACAAGCATTGAAGTTCCTTTCTCTCCTTATCAGAAGATAGAAAAGATGTATACAAGCTGTTGACAGCCATATTATTTCAGGACAGACTATGCTAGCTGTGGAAGTCCAGATATTGGAAAGGAAAACCAGAAATTTTGTAACGATGCATTTTTTAGTCCTCTATATACACTCTGAAGCTTGCCACCATGAATTCCGATTGTGGATACAGTGACTTGCCCTAATAGCCCCTTTTACTGTTAATATATACCTAGATGTCTGACGGAAGATAAAGCAGCCATGGATAAAGGTGGATAAAGGACCCATATTCAGGAATCGTAGCAGGCTGCATTTGTCACTAGCTTGTTTCAGATTGGTCATCTGGATACATATTTTTTCAGCATCACTATTACAAAGCACCGATTTATTTCCATCATTTAGTCTTTGCAATCACAAGCATCTCCAGAATAACCACCATTTTTCTCTCTATGGTTAAAACACTGAAGCCAGTTTGTATCAGATCTCAAAGCATTAGTCTCACCAACTCCTATTCACAAATTCAATCCACAGCTGCTGAGTGCAGCTGTCCAGGGGGAGGCAGCAACATTTGGTAAGAGGTCCTAAAATTGTTGATGACAGCAGTCATGACACGTTGGCATAAGCCTCTCTTGCTATTGAAGTTAAAAATCTGAAAGTTGCATATAAATCCTCTTTTTACATAACTAAAAATTGAGTTTGGTTTTACTGCTTTTCCCACATTTGTGCTGAGATTCAACTCTCGCTGATATCAAATCCTACTTCAAACTTCAGCTTCACGTTGTTATTTGGAAAACCTAGGACAGGCAATCAAAAAGGTACGTGACAGAAGCAGAATAGCAACCAAAACATCATTGATAGTATGAACTCGAGATAATTTCTTCCTAAGTTTAGCCTGCTAAAGTTGGCATAGCTAAGAGTAAGTGACAGTGTATACTGACAGCCTAACTTTGATTCCGCACCTCTTACGACAGCAGTGACTAAGGACTCTGAATGAAGAATACACTCAGACACAAGGAAAAAGAATCTTGATTTGTTCTGACACTGCCTGCAGAATGAGCAATAGATCAATGGACACCGAGTTATTCACTATTTCAATGATTCAACATGAGGAAAGGAGAAAAGAATAGTGAACAAATAAGTAAAAAATACAAGAGAAAGGAAGCAGTAGAGATGAGATTATTTTTTTAAATAAAGCCAGTTAATATTGAAGTTAAAAGATATTTTTTCTATTAACTGAAAAAGAAGTAAGAGTATATTCCCTTACAAAGTTGAATGTATTGTATTCCAAAATGGAGAAGTAATACAAGTTTCGAAACCTAAATGTAAAGTTAAACCTCTACTCTTCACAATTATTTCCTACTTTCAGAAGGAGAGTTTAACATATTTTGTAACATTTGTAAGCCGGCCATCAGCAATGTGTCTTTAAAATGCCACCTATGTTTCCAGCTG